GGACACGAGAGGGGAGAAGAGAAGGCGTCGGTACTGGGGGGAGCCAGCTTAAAAGCCGGTTCCCCCAGCACCATCTCTGCAGAGGGTTGAGGACAGCAGGGAAAAGGCATGACTGGGGATTCAAATAGTCCCACTTGCGCCGGTCCCAACCGCTGCTCCCCTTGCTTTGAAATGTATAAGAGACTGTCATGGCTGAATTTCCTAACCTGGCACTGAATCTAGGTAATGGGGGCTGGTGTAATTACACCGGCTTGCAAAATAAAAATACTGTGAAATCCTGTCTGCAGTTTCCAGAGACAAAAAAGTTTTTCTGTTTTCAGGTTCCCCTGAAATCTATTGGTACTGCCACCAACAATAGTACAAACTTCCTTGTCCAGGGAAGAAATCACTTGGATTCTCTACTCTGAGGGCAAAACCCCCCCAACCTCCATGCCCCAAGGAGTTAGAAAAACAAACAAGAACAGGCTCCACAGAACAATGAACCTGTGCTCTCTCTGGTAATATGTCTGCAGACAGGCACACAAAAGACCAACCAGTACCAGTTAAATACCCCCCTTCCCAAAAAAAAACAAAAAAAAAAAACAAAAAAAAAACCACCCAACAACAACAACAACAAAAACCACCAACAGTTTTTATTATTAAAACAAGACTATTGTTGCAAGCATAGTAAATGGCTTGGTTTTTAAAAAAGCCATGAATTGAAACAAAGTTTAGGCATTCCCCAGCTCTTATACATTTCAAAGGGAGAGGCACAGTGGGGATAGCAAGTGCCCCCCTTATCAACTAATCGAAATTGAACATCCCTAGTACAAATAGCAAGGAACAATAATCCATTGAGAATTAACTGTCTAAATTCCGTGTTTCCTTTTAGCAGTACTACAACAAATAACTGACTGTATACTGACAAGTTTCAGAAGTAATCTGTTTCAGCAGAACAACAAAGAATCCAGCGGCATCTTAAAGACTAACAATTTTATTATAGCATCTGATGAAATGAGTTGCAACTCATTAAAGTTTATGCCATAATACATTATTGTTAAATTAATACATACTGAGAGTATTCACGTACTGAACTATGCAGGAGATACTATACTGACAAATTATCTCAAACTCACAAAAGCAATTAATTCATATCCATTCCTAAAAAGAATCTAGTTAATTTTATAAAGGCCAAAAAGATAGCATTTTTGCCTATTATCAGTTACATGAATTACCAGATCAGGATTCTAATCAGTCTTCTGATAGAACCTGTCCTATTAATGTATTCAACACATCTTGTATGTGTTGTAAAAACACTATTCTAAAGCAGAAATACAAATACATTAAAAAAAAAGCAATTTTTTTTTAATTCCACATCTACCTTGATCCTGTCATTACAAACAATACATATCAAGTTGAGAGGACTAGACCAGAAACAGTAGCATATTTTCTCCCTGATACTGAAATGGGTAAACATGAAAGTATGGTCAGTTACTGCTGCTATGAAATAAAACATCTCGTTTTGGAGATATTAAGTACGTACGTTAACTGCATGACAAATGTGCTTCAAATTTAATAATCCATTACAGGCAATCTTTGCAGATCTCTATTACCACCACAGTTTTGCCAGGTTTATATTATTAAAGAAATTACATTCATGAAATAGGTTAAAGATCTTATGTGCATCAACACAATCTAGCGATCAAGAGTAATATAAAGGTTTGACTACAGAGGTATATTACTTAAACTACACCAAATTAGAACCACATTAATTCTAAATGAGAGCATCGGCACAGTGTTTTAATATTGTTTTAACTATATCTGTTTTAAATTCACAAATTAATTTGGATTAATTTTTTGTACATTCCTACCTATGTAAATACACCACAAGCATACTTCATTTTTACACAACAAACAGATGCATTAATTAGTCAGTGTTTGTAGGGTACTATATTAGTAGTGCCCCACCAAATTTACAGTCCGTGATGGTCAATTTCACAGTAACTGGATTTTTAAAATAAAAAAATATCATGATTTCACCTATTTAAAATCTGAAATTTCATGGTGGTGTATTTGACCTTAAAAAAAAAAAGTTGTGAGGTGGTTACAAGGTTATTCTAGGGTGAGTCGCAGTACTGCTACCTTCACTTCTGCATTGCTGGTAGTGGCATCACTGACTTCAGAGTTATACAGCTGAAGGGCAGTCACTGGCCAGGAGCCCAGCTCAGAAGAAAGAGCCACCACCACCAGCAACAGCAGTGCAGAAATATGGATGGCACAATGCGGTCTTGCCACCCTTATTTTTGTGTTCCTAGCTACAAGAGCTGGGCCCTCAATCAACAGCAGCCATGCTGTGGCCACCCAACTCCGATGGCAGCACTACAAAAGTAAGGATGGCATTGTATAGTATTGCCACCCTTATTTCTGTGTTGCTGCTGGTAGGGCACAGCCTTTGCTATCCAGCCAACCACACTTCTGTACTGTCTTCAAAGCTGGGTATTAATACTGCAGCCCTCCTAAAAAAACTTTGCAATTCTGTTGGAACTCCCTTTTTTGGGTCAGACTTCCAATTTCAGAAATGCTGATCTCCCCCATGAAGTCTGTATAGTAAGTATAAGGTAAAAGCACACAAAAAACCAGATTTCATGGTCCACGATGCATTTTTCATGGCCATGAATTTGGTAGGGCCCTAAATATTAGCCATTTACAAGCTTTTCAAAACAAATGACATTTTTAATCTTCTTTTACACAGTCTCTCTCAAATATTTTCCAGCCACCATGCCTGGCCTGACTTTCTGCAGCACTCCAGGCAAATAAAATGTGCAAACCCTCACTCAGTTTTCTTCCCTTCTTTGCATACGTAAGACCATCTCCAACTGCCTCTTACAGGTCTGAAACACATTCCCAGTTTGACAATTCCATTTCAATTGGTTCTGAAGCCCTAGAGCCTCAGACAAAATCCTTTTATTTATGAACAAAATTCAGACATTATTAAGGTGGAAAGCAACATCAGGGATGTACATTTCAGAATCTGAGCTAACAGACAAGCGGATGCTATTTAGAGGCACATTTGTACGCCTACCAGAACCTTAGCTACATGTGCTCTATGTAACAATATAATCGTTACGTTCTGCTCTAGCGAAAGACCTTGTCTACATTGCAAAGGTGCCCCAGTTTAACAAGTTATTGCATATTTGGTTCAAGTATTTAAAAGTTCTGTAGACACACTCTTATTTAGTTCACAAAAGGTTTATTTAATTTGAGCTCAAGTCAACTGAGAAGTGGTTTAAATGAAGCCAAAGGAGGCAGCACAAAAACTGCAATACCAATGTACACGCAATGGTTTGCCTAGGGATTTTAAAATGTGTTTAATTAAGTAAACATGTAATTACCGAAAGTTCTTATGGTCGAGGGGAGGAGTCAGCTTCCTACATGGAATGCCGGGGGGGGGGGGGGGGGGTAGGTGGCTCCCCAGGAACCAGGGTATGTGAGCCCCATGTGTACTGGGACCCTGACAGTTAACCAACGAGCCCAGTGTTTGACAACTGATTCATTTACCCATAAGAAGATTCCCACACTTTCTGTTCTCAATGAAGCAGAGCAAATCAAGGTGGCTCTGAAGTTGAAGGGGCTATTACTGTGCTCACAGATCACTAGATACTTGACACAACAGTCTCTAGTTCTATGCAGTATTCCTACAGCTCATTTCAGTGCACTTAAACACATCTCAACCTCTCTCAGGGTAGCACTCCAGAGACCCACTGCTCACCTGTCCCGCCAGACGCAGTCAACAGTGCGTGAGGATTTAAACAACAAACCAATATGGCAAAGAAGGAACAAACCTAAGCAGGAAGGGCTCAGCTGCACAGCACGCATGCCCCACACACTCCTCAGCCACTAGGCTCGCGTCCCAAGCAAACCCCTTCCTGCAGCCCCGCTCCCCGCAGGAGGGATACTCGCTCGGCTCCCAGTCACCCCCTGCGGGCTCGCCAGAGGAAACTGCCCCGCCATCAGCCGGGACTGGCAGGCC